GCGCGTTGGATCGAGTCTACCAAAATCAATCACCTGATTGGTTATTAGAAAAATGTCACTAAAATTAGTTCTTGTTGTTAAGGCTATTTCTGCAGGCTTTGGGATCACTCGATCTGGCCATGACGATGGATCTAACGATAAAAAATTTGGACCGTGCCACCAAAGGTCACTGATAGCTAATTCGACGGCAGATAAACCACGATTAGCCAAGTCTGCACTGGTGGACTTGGTCGAAACATAACGCCATTGTATGAGCTCCGAGGATTCATGAATCTCACCTACTCGATGTGATCGAATGGTTTGTAAGTGCATAATTCTCCTTTTATCCAGTAAAGTACATTTCGACTATCGCACCAGAATGTTGTCAAGGTTTTTGGAATTCTAAGTACTTCGCAAACTGAGATTGCCAAGCGCACTCCGACCACTGCGCCACAAAGTTCTTGGTATCGAAACTGTCTTTAATGGCGTTACGCGAGTTTTAGCTACCATTTGAGTACTCACAACGGAGGTAACAACAAGTTGCGTAAGATTTTTCTGATACGTCAACAAATACATACAATGTCCTGTCCAAAATCTGGTGTCCGTCTTTTACAAGGCATCGAGGAATGGCTATGTTTTGTAACAAAGGCAGCTCAGAAAACCAGCAAGTCCACTGTTGCTTAAGGTCGTCAAGAAGATTAGCATCCAAATCCAAACCACGTACCCACGTGTTTTGGATCCCTAACTTGGCCCTATAAGTAAACGGTGCGACCAGGTTTAGGGGATCAAAGTAGCAAGTGGGTCTCAGCTACTTCAAAAGTGAATGAGTCAGTTTCTGCGCACCACAATATTCCAAGTGTTTTAATAGACGGGAGATTACCATCATCAAGAGAAAGTTTGTTAAGTCTATCAGAAACAGGAACGTCTGTCAACACTGTTGCTTTATTGGACAACCATTTGCGTATTTCAAATCCAGCGCCTAGTAGAAGTGACCTTAACTGCCAACGCAGTTCAATGGCTTCCGAAATATTATCAACGCTCTCAAGCAAGTCCTCAACGTACATAGAGTTAAGAATAAATTCTGCTGCCGAAAGGATACTCACTCTCATTTTGCTCACAGTGGTTACGTATGACTTTTCAGGTGATGACGAGTTCCCGACCAAAAGCCTATTGTACTGATAGATTTTAATTATACTTCGTGAATCAAAGTTGTAAGCCACAAAAATCTATAGAATATGCCATCTTCGTCCTTCAATCCAATTTGCAAAAGCAACTCGGAAATGTCACTTGTTAAGGCAATTGATTTACTACGAAATCTCAAAATTTCTTTGAAGTTTAGGACCTGAATTTATGCAGTCGTTTAAGGATATTGATAATACCGGAATAAGTTTCTCTTCAGCAATTTCGAAGCACTGAGTGACAGAAAGCGATCTAAAATGTAATCAGTTAATACCATTGTCATGAAATTGTCCACAGACAATACAAGAATTTTGACTCGTGGTTGCGAATGTTTATAAAGTTTAAAAAGTTTAAAGACCATTATAATGTCGATTACGATACGATGAGCTTGACGATGGTTTCGAATAGGACGATGGGACCCAAGTCTAAGTATTAGGGGTAAATCCTTCGACTTCCTCCTGTCAAAGTCAAAAGGGACTGTTACGACGAGGACCGTCGAAATTATCCTCTAAGCGTTTTAAAGCAGCGTCATATTCCATGTCAGATAATCTGGAATTCTTCGATTGCTTTCAGCGCTTCACCAGTTAAATGTTGTCTTAATTGTAACATTTGTAAGCTTTCGAAGTTGAAATCCTTAAAGATTTAATATTCATGCTTGTTTCCATCGAATTTAATAATGAAAACTTTATTTAACTGTCTGTAGAGATCTCAATCCAGATTGAAATTCGAACTGGCACTTGAACTCTGTTCTATTTGTTGTTTTCGATTACTATGTTGTGGATCAGCAGGAGATTTTGTCGGTGAAATGTTGGATCTGGTAAGATGACTGGGGATGGATAGCCTTTGATAACAGATCGGATATGCTGCTATCTGACTGCACAGATTCCAGCTCATCTTCATAATCACCACTTTCATCACATAGATGATTCAAATTGTCGATTACCTCTTTAATATGCCGCAGGACATTATCTACTACCGTTCTGATGCTAGCGGTCTGCTTCTCACTTGCACAAAGCAAACTTGTAAGAAGTTTTGCTTTTGTCAACTGAGTTTTAGCAGTTCTTTTCTTTCGGCGTAAACGTGAAATATTTTCCTGACTTGTTGGCTCTTACCATTTTGCCCAGATATTTTTCGTCAGAACTAGGTGCTGATTGATTCTGATTGACCACCGCTGAATCTGGATTCTAGGTCAAAAGGTCATATTCCCTTATTCGCTAAGCCATCAAACACCAAACCCATTACAAAAAGTAAGATCACATTCTCTTATCACCCTAAAGACATGAGACCATAATATCAATACACTTACCACCCTAGGTCAAAAGATCCCATTCTCTTACAACCCTAGTGTAATATCCTACAAACCCTCACACCCTAACCCGAGTCAAAAGGTCACACTTCCTTACCTCCCTAGAGGTATACTATTAAATAGCCTTACCACAAGAGAGTTATTAGACCCCTTAAAACCCTAGAGTCATAAGACCACATACCTTCACCACCCTAGAGACATTACCTTTACCATCCTATGTCATTAGATCACAAATCCTCTATACCCTCGTAATGTAATAGCACATACCCTTACCACCCTAGATTCATTAGACACCCAAAGACAAAAGGTCTCATTTCCTGACAGCCCCAGAATCATAAGACCACAAGCTCATATTTGAGGTATAAGACCACATACTTTTACCACCATAGAGCAATAAGACCACATACCTTACCATCATATATCAATGGGTAACACTCCTTCACATCTCTAGTAATTAGACCACACAACTTCACCACCCTAGTTTTATAAGATCACATACCCTTGCCACCTAGAGTCAATTGATTAAATACCCTTACCATCTAGTCATTTGATTACATTCCCTTACCACCTAGAGTCTTTGATTACACACCCTTACCACCTTTAGTCATTTGATTACATACCCTTACCACCTTTAGTCATTTGATTACATACCCTTACCACCTCGTTCATTTGATTACATACCCTTACCACCTATGTCATTTGATTACATACCCTTACCACCTATGTCATTTGATTGCATACCCTTACCATGTAGTCATTTGATTACATACCCTTACCATCTAGTAATTTGATTACATACCATTACCACCTAGGTCATTTGATTACATACCCTTTCCACCTAGAGTCATTTGATTACATACCCTTACCACCTAAAGATATAATAATACATACCCTTACCACCTAGTGTCATCAGAACACACCTTACCACCCTAGGTCAAAAGGTCACATCCCTCCCCAGCCTAGTTATTATCTCACAAACCCTTACCAATCTAGAGTATGATATTACAGGTCACAATTCCTCACCACCCAAGTCAACACACCAATAGTCATTAGACCACAAACTCTTACCAAAATGTCACATCCCTTCACCACCCTAGTCATAAGACCACAAACTTTTACCACCCTAGAGATATAAGACAACAAAAACTTACCACCTTAGAGACATAAGACAACAAACTCTTACCACCCTAGAGACATAAGACAATAAACACTTACCACCTTAGAAATATAAAGCCATATCGCACCTTATTAGGCCATATAACCTTACCACCTATAGTCATTAGACCACAAACTCTAACCAAAATGTCACACCCCTTCACCACCCTAGTCATTAGTCACAAAATCTTACCACCCTAGAGATATAAGACAACAAACACTTACCACCCTAGAGATCTAAGACTACATACCGTTACCACCTTACAGTCATTTGACCACATGCCCTTACTACCCTAGTTCAAAAGGTCACATTCCCATTTAACCCTAGGGCCTAGAGTTATTAGACCATAGAGTTATTAGATCACATAGACTACACACCCTTTCCATTCTAGAGACATAATACCACACACCACTCTCTGTCAAAGTTCGCATTGCTTGATGTAATTGGACTGGTAATTGGATGATTTTTGACTTTTTGGATGATATCGATCCGCCGAGTAATTGATTGATGCCGAACCGTCAAGTTGGATATTGATATACCAATTTATTGGTTTTTGGTTTGTGTTGGTTTGTTGGGTTATTGGTTGATATTTTTGTCGGTTTATTTTCTGTTTTTAACTTCTGCCGTATGCTCTGGTTTCTTCAATCACTGCTCATTACCATAATATTGTGATACAGATAACAAATTGAACAATTGACTCTGAACTTTAACACGAACGATTTTAAACAACTCAAAAGGCATGGGAATAAAATTTCAGTTCGTACATACATCAACTTCAGAAGAAAGTCATTCAGTAAACCAAGACCAGCTTCCTAATCAAAGAATTACAACAGAAATGATACAACACTTCCCCTTTTTACTTTATACGATTTCTAGAATTATTTTCTATAAAACATTAGTGCCATGCAGGTAACACTTCCACCAGAAATCACACTTTAAAGTAAAATCTTTGTTTTCGTACCAAATTTAGATATTTGTGAAATAAAGATTACTAGTTTTATACACATTATTATGGTGCTCTTTGTCCCCAACCCCAAACCTCTTCGAAACTTGTGTTATTGTTGCACAATTGCTAGAATTTACCAGTTGCTTATAATGATAGATTTACATTTAGTAACTAGTATCCTAGGCTTGGAACCATGGGCTGTAGAGTTTAGTTTTAAAAACAAACTTTTAAAAGAATCTCTTTTTTTTTTCTTTAAGAAACCAAGATGAAACTTAATTGTCATTTGTTCTCATATATTCATTATGACGTCATAAGAGAAATAACGTCAAATTGGTTAGAATTCATGTAGTATTTGGATTTCAAACACTGAAGGATTCATTTTCTGCTGCTGTCAGAGTTTTGTGGTTTTTGATATTTTCTGTAGTTTAATAGAAATGACGATTATGTAAGTATAGTATTAGAATATACAATGTAAAGTTTTTCTGTAACTGAAATCATTAAATCGGTTTTAGAAGAAAGTTGTTGACTAAATTAATTTGTTGATATTAATATTTCAGATTACCAGTAATAAGTTATTATGTAGACGAGGTTATTTTGGATTATCTAGTGAACAGTAATCAATCTGAAATTTTCACTGATAATAACAGTAAGTAAGGCTATAAAAATATTCCATTAAATACAAAAGAAGTAAATAATTGTTATTTGCCATTTGAATAAGTTTTTATTTTTCCCAATTTATTAGAGATTTCAAGTATAAAATTATTGTCTGACCAACTACATTGAATTTTGTCATTTAAGGTGTGATCCTCGACCTCAACCAAAATAATCATATCGACAACAACAACAACAATAAGACTGTCAACGATGAAATTGACGAATTTAAGGAAATTGAGAATTGGGCGGAGGAGCCGTGGTCCAACTGTATTGATGTTGATGTTCCAGAATGGGCTAAGATTGAGGGTATTTTAATACTTATATTTTATTTAATTGTTGGAAAAAAAATTAATGTCAGAAATCTTGTTGTTTAAAACAAGTTCAAGTTCAGAGTGTGGTGTTGTGTTGTGATATAGTGGTAGTACAGGGCGTGGGGTCAAGAAAATTGATTTGTACCCCTACTGAATTGTACCCCTACTTTATTTCAAACAAAAATTATGGTTGGCATACGCCTATACCACAAAATAACTGTCTGAGATCACCAAATCAATTCTACACAGGTGGTAGACCCTGAGAGATTTCAACTAATTAGCAAACTACTTGTTCTCTTTCAGGTCCAGTATTGGAAGATAATGAGAAGGATTTGGTGTGGGCAGACGACCCCTGGATACAGACCCCTCTCGTTGACATCCCTCCGTGGATGATGCTTCCGGGGATCGATTTTAATTTGGATGCTTTTCCTTGGAAAACTGAAGTGGGCATGGACGACGATAATATTGAAGATCTGATCGAGTCAAACACAACCATCAACAACTGGTCCGATGAATTTTATTTTCAAGCACCTCTTGATGTTCCCAATTGGGCTCTCTTACCAGGGATAGATTATCCAAGCCAAACTAAAAATAGTCCGTACTGGCAGTACAAATTAAACAATTATCATAAAATAAAAGATAATTTTAGACAAAAAGTCTTCAAAGAACAGTTGAGATGTATAGCAGAGGAAATATTTATGTAGACACAAGATTCTATCAACTCGGACATTTTGGACATTAATCTATTATCAGTTATTAATCTATTATCAGTTATTAATCAGTTATTAATCTATTATCAGTTATTAATCTATTACAAAAACTTTACCTCATTGTACAATACTAGTGTATATCTACTTATAGATCTAATTATATTTGTATATTTGGCGGAATAAACTGCATATATTATTACATACATTTTTGTGGTTAATCAGCAACTTTTCACTCTACCAAGATGGATTTTGACAGTCAATCACTCATAGAAGGGCTGTTTCAAAAGACCAGCCAGTCATAGCATGACTGTTTCAAAAGATTAGTCATACCAGGACTGTTCCAAAAGATCAGTCAGTCATACCCGGACTGTTCTAAAAGATCAGTCAGTCATACCCGGACTGTTCCAAAAGATCAGATAGTCATACCTGGACTGTTCCAAAAGATCAGCCAGTCATACCAGGACTGTTCCAAAAGATCAGTCAGTCATACCCGGACTGTTCCAAAAGATCAGTCAGTCATACCAGGACTGTTTCAAAAGATCAGCCAGTCATAGCACAACTGTTTCAAAAGATCAGTCAGTCATACCAGGACTGTTTCAAAAGACCAGTCAGTCATACCAGGACTGTTGCAAAAGACTAGTCATACCAGGACTATTGCAAAAGATTAGTCATACCAGGATTGTTTCAAAAGATCAGACAGTCATACCAGGACTGGTCCAAATGATCAGTCAGTCATACCCGGACTGGTCCAAATGATCAGTCAGTCATAACGGTTGTTTTTTTTCGAAAGATCAGTCAGTCATACCAGGAATATTTCAAGATCAGTCAATCACACCAGCAATGTTTCAAATTGAAATATAACAGAACTATTTCAATTATAGATCAGTTGATTAATTTAAACTTGCGTTATAAACAAAAATTAAACCTATAGGGGTCAAAATTAGCAAAGTTATGGCAATTTTTAAGATATGTGGAATCAGCCTTAGTCGCCTAGCTACACAACTTGAGGTTAAGACTTTGACAGGCTGCTATTCGAAAACTCTCAGAGAAAGTTGCAATTTGAACTACAATTTTATTGTCTGCTAGAGCACTTAAGTAACCAACCTTTTCATATTTCCAGGCATAATTTACGACGTTTTTGATAATGAAACAAAAAAGCGGAATACTCCTTTAAAAAAATCTGTTTTTCTGTTCTTTACTGAAATCAATCTGAAGATAACTAGATCAGGCAATAGAGGCTGTCCAAAGAGCAGTCAATGAAATTTGTTTTCACCAATCACACTCGTCTTAAAGACTTCAATCCAATCAAATTTCATTGGGGATATTTTTTATTAAGAATTTGAATTCCATGAAACATTCATTAATGAGGCCTGATACACAAAAACTGTTACCATAGGCAGTGGGTTTTCATGGTTCAGTCTATCGAGGCAGGTAGATCTTCAAGTAAATTGAAAGTTCAATTAAACGGGACATGTCTTTCAATATTTCCTTGATCAGAAAAAGTGCTTTATAAAGGTTCAGACAGACAGCTTCAGTCGATGAGACCAGGTAAGATCGATTAGGACAGGTAGGTTAAAAGGTATACTACCTGTAAGGATGACCAAAAAATTGAAATTTTGAAACTTGGTAACAATGGGACTTTGGACATGACAATAAAAAATCCAATAAATCCCTCTATAATCCACCTTAGAAGCGCGTTTCAATAATCATTTAGTTTGATGGATATATCGTCGCTATATAGAGATTCTGTGGCACCTAGTTAAGTCCAACTGATGTTGACCAAGTTTGAATTTTAAATTTTTATGTGTATTCTAAGAGATAGTATCCTTTTAACAAGATTCTATATATCTGGACAGGTAGGTTTACAAGCCCCAGTTAATTCTGGCAAGAAAATATTCATTTCAGTAAATTGGTACATTAGGATTCAAAGCTTATATTAATACTAAAATATAACATTTGTTTTTATAAACTATATTTCATTTATAAATTATTTCATAAAATTATATAGACAATAACAAAATTTTGTTAGTTTTTATACAGCTATATCCAGGTTAACAATTGTATTGTACAAGTAGATACATAAAACTTTCTTTCTTATAAGTTGTCAGTTTAACAGCTTCATGATATGAGAATATAGCACCTTAAACCAATCTGATTAAAATGCAAACTTAGATGCTTTGTTAATTTGTTAGAGTTTTCCATCATTTCCTTGATCTGATGAATTTGTCTTTAGATCATGTTCTGTTCAAAAACACTCTTAGAAGTCGGCAGATAATACAAGTCAATGATTAAGAATGAATATCACAGAATTCCCCATATATAATATAACCCAACATGACATGCATGGCCATCATGCCAAGTGGAGTCAGATCAAGATTATCTTTTAATCAGATTGCACCTTAAATATCAATTGAACATCAATTCAAAACAGGTGTTTTTTACGGAAATAACACAGATAAATACAGAAATTCTGTCCAAATATAACTTCACCAAGATATTTAGCTGGATATCACATAGAGCACTAAAAGTTAACAATCTGTATTTAAAATACTGATCAAAATGTAGGTGATTTTTATAGTACTTTATATACTATACACTTGTATATACTGTGATCACAAACAGACATAAATACAGAATTTTTGTAATTCAACTTAGACAAGGCTCTGCACCATTAAAAATGCAAAATAAAAACTATGATAGAAGTCATATCAATGATCAGGGCTTGACAAACTTTCAGTTTCTTCATTTATTGTCTCATATCCTGACTTAGGTTTCATATCATCGTTAAATGATTCTTTTTGAGCTTCAGTTAATTCATTTATAGCCTTAAAGAAATCACTAAAATCAACGTATGCTGTGACACGGCCATCTTTATCAAGTTCTAATTTATGTCCCACAAACTCACGTCCAAATAAGGGCTGATCTCCACTACTTTCTGTAGATTCAGTAGAATATGCGCCACTATTATTAGTCCTTTGTGTTTCAACTTGAGAGTTATTAGTATAAAGTGGATGTACATTCATATTGGTAGGTGTGACTGGTGAATCATTTGTACCTGTACTACTGTATCCATTATTAACAGGAGACATGGGGCCAGGGATATGAAGAGCTGGTAAGCCAGTAGAGTAAGGCACACGAGGCATCGTTGGACTAGTCGCAGGTAAAGCTAAAGGATAATTAAAGTTTCTGATCAATAGTGTTATATCATCACGTTTTTGACACACAATTTTTAACATGTCATGTCCTGTCATGTAGGCATCATGATGGCGCCTAACAACTCTGTCAACTACAGCCTGAGCAACACCATTTAAGGTAGACTGCATTGAGAATTCTGCAGCCACCATTGATGCAATTTCTGCATTCACCCGTTCACAGTTTGAAGCATCTTCCAAAGACTGATATAATCCATCCGACATAACTATAAGAAATCTACAGCCTTCATCTAGTTCTATTCCACCTTCAACATGGGGGTCAGCTATGACAGGTTCTCTTATAGCAGTCCTGAAACATAGACACATGACATCGTATCACTATTTCAGGTTTTGACATGATTTTATTAACCCATAAAATTCTGTGGGCGTTGAAATGAGATTGGTGCTATTTGAACCTGACCAATGAGATCTGTAGAGCGGAAATAAGGTATTGTAAACAAAACACAACATTGCCCGTTTTTATTTTTTCCGAGTTAAGATTCCAAAGTATGGTTTGATTTTCTCTCAGCTTCAATTCTTTACCATTCACATAACCAAAACATGTAATGCCACACTGCTTTTGTTTTGTTTACCTTTGTAAGCATAGTGCCGTAACAGGTGATTTGTTTTGATTGGCTGAAATTTTAGTACCAAGACGGCAGGGGCAATTTTGATCAGACAATATTTAGCTATGAATACATTTTTTTTCTCACTTGTATTATCAAGGTCTCGAGAAAGTATGACAAAGGGGGGCATGGTTTGGAAACGATGAGATACATGATATTGTATAAATGTTTACATAACAAAAGAAACAGGTTACTAGGTTAAACTGTTCTCAAAATCTCAAATAAAACTTTATCCATTTCATTATTCAAAATTTCCTTCTATTCTTTTACTGGTTGGACTAACCTCAATGAAAAAAAGGCAAGGTAGTTTGCAGTGTCTTTTTTCAATTTCCAACAGTCACATGATACATGCACATCCAATAGCAAATAAAGTTTAGTTTGAGAAAATGGGCAGGCTGGATGATAAAAAGATAATTATGTTTTACCTCAAGATATCAATATCTTTATAACCACCTTTAACATGATAATCACCAATACACCTTGTATTATCAGATGTTCCTATCTTACGTAACTGTTTTAATTTTTCTACATCTAAACCTAAATTAACCAATCGTATTTGTTCTTGTTCATCAGCAATAGTGTGATCATGTGATAACTGGACCAATCGTAACACTCCATCAACATCAGTTTTACATAACAATGCTCTTGTATCACCTATAGCAGACAAACAAAACTAAATCATTAAGCATAATTAATTTTCTTAATCACACTCATTTCAGGCATTTTATTTTACACCGATAGCTAATGTAATATGACATTCAAAAATACACACTATTTCTTTTGAAGTGTTATCAAACAAGTCTCAATTTTCAGTTGAGTAATTCGGGTTAATTTCCAAAATTACTTACCAACATTTGCTACATATAATTTATTATTATAAATCAATACAACACAGGCTGTAGTGCCACCAGCTATCTGGGTTTCTAATGCTTGTATCTTACTCATTATGTCAGGATATTTATTATAGGCATCAAATGAACTTATGCCCTGTAATAGCAAATAGATATTGTAAATCAGTTCAGGCTTAAAAGTTTAGTTCTTATCTAACACAACATAAAAGAATGATAGTATTTGCTTAATTAAACATTACTTGTCAAAATATATAAATTCAATGTTCTTTACAATTGAATAAAAAGTAACAATGAAGTTTAAATTCTTGTCATTGTCCAGAAAGAAAAGCAGTTAAAACTGCATAAAAGAATGTTAGTACGGTAACAGTCTGGAAACTACTGACTATAGTTTCAGGGTGGTATGTTGAGAAAATAATAACCTTTTAAAACTCATGATCAGATTAAATACAATAACATATTTGAACAATTCATTCAAATGCTAATTACTATTACATTAAAGAAATTAACTTACCTCAGGAAGTTCCATTTGAAGAGTTGTTTTTTGTAAGAGTAGCTCATCCATTGATTCAAAATAACCCTTTTCTACTGCTATAAATGCCTGAAATAATATTTCAAAATAACTCTATAATACTACAAGATGATACATTTTCCAATAATATCTTTGTCTCTGAGAATATGCAATAGTAGTTAAACAGCCTTGGTACCTGTCTATATTTATTTGTTATCTGATCTAATACGGGATAGTAGTTTAGATGCAGTTAAAAAGTTTACAAACATTGAAGATTTGTTTACCTGTCTGAGAACTTCTCTTACTTCATTGTCTGTAGTTTTACCTTGTAACTGACCCAACAATAATTCAGCTGGCATTCTTTGGGCAGCAAAATTAGATGCCCTGTTTCCATTATGACCATCAAAAACACCATATAAATAGCACCCATCATCAGACCTGTAATTAAGAAAATAATGGTTTGAAAGGAATAAAAAAAAAACACTACACTTACAGAATGTCTGCTTCTTTTCAATTGTATGTTAAGGAAAATGCATAAAATTAGATTACTTTGTATCAATTAGCTTAAATTTTCAGTAAAAACTAGGTAGGCTAATATTAATTTACCTGAAATGAAAACTTTTATCTTCAAATTCATGTTCTTCTCGCCTATCACCATCTTCTCTATAAATCTGATTGGTAGAAAATCCAACACCAGAATAATGACACACTGGTAAATCATCTGTCCAACTCAAGGCATGACCCTGTATTAGATATGAACATATAAGAATATAATATCTAGTTGGATATCTAGGCAAGATGTATCATCTCTTATTTCATGGACAGAGCCCATAATTGGAGTGCAATAACGGTTATAATAAGAAAGCTTTTACAGAATACAGTGACAGTGTGTTCATTTGATGATCAAAAATCAATTCTTGACCCACCCCTTCGGTCATTGTGTAGCACAGAGTAATCTATGACCATTATACTGAACATTCTCTCTGCAGTGAGAGTACTGAGTACAGAGTAGCCTGGACCACAACCAGACAAGTGGCCTACTCAGTAGATGAATACAAATGTAATGTTTTGCTTGATGTAGCCTATACCTGAAGTCCAAATCTTGGTGGAGAACCTACAGTATCAGCTGATGAATGGGTTGGTCTGGATGCCATCTTATGATTTTGTGTATATTTTACAAAATGTTCATTTCAAGATATTCTTAGAAAAACAATATTTCGACATTACTGAAACCGGAAGTAGGCACTGGATATTTGAAATTGTAAACTGATTATTTACCTGAAAACGAAATAAAAGTAGGGGAATGAAATTAAGTTTTCAAATGAAAACATTTAAATTGATTGCCTATTCCATCTCAATTATAAATTCTGTCTTTCAATCCGATTTGTTCCAGGTAATGATTCTTTGGTAATCTTTTGTTTTGTTTTACCATTCACAATTCAACAATTAAAACGAAAGTAGTAACATTTTGTAAGGTCATTAATGACATTATCCAAACATTTTTTTTTGTCATATATTTGATTTGGAGATTTTTACCAGGCGTGCCACAAAAAAGACTCTAGATATTGTCCATTTGTTTCCAAATATTTTGACACAAAAGACATTGAATAGGCCTATTAAAGGCATAGTGTGGTGAGTGATAAACTTACATGAATGTTTTGCTTGATGTAGCCTATACCTGAAATTAATAAGAAATTACTTTTTAATGGATTAATTGTCTTAGCCTGAATCCTTATATACAATTCTAAGGTTACTATATAACTTTTGCTTTAAAAGGGATACGATTTTGATACAAAATAGTTTGAATTGCCAGCTCATTTTCTACTCTGATCCCTTTTCACATTCATGTAAGTTGATCACTCACCAAACGATGACGCTTATGTCACGAAGTGTTGATAGGGGTAATACAGGCACTCCTTCGTAAGATTTTTCATTTATTTTGTTTTTTAATTGATCTTAATTGAAATGATCAATTTTCTATGTTTATATCATGCTTGTTTGTTATATCTGTGCATGTCTCACATAGATTTGCTTGGATGTAGCCTACCAACTACCTTTTTTCTAGGGATATCATACTAATAAAGTTAATACTTTAAGGTAGGCCTTAATTTTATGGGTTTGTTCTTTACATGATCAAAGTTTTTATCGTAATTTGTGGTCACATTTTGAAAATTGAAGGCATAGTTCAGTTAAATCATGTTCAGTTGGTACACAAAAGAAAAGAACCATGTGAAGTACAGAAATGTAAAAAGGAAACCTCCATTCAACTGATATATTTTCGCACTGAGAGATAAAGTGTTGCTTTGAAAAAGTGGACATCAATATTGTAAATCTGATAATGAACTTGGGTTACAAACCAAGACAAGCTACAATATTGATAATTCGTTGACTGCATTAGCCACTATTCTTTTATCATGGAATGTAGCGATTTGTATGCCAGAAAATACAGCCTTCCACTGTAAACATTATGGCTTTGTGTTCAGACTTTCCGTAGTTCTAGGCCTCTGTTGGCAGCATTCACTAGCATACAATCCAATCAAATTACTTCATTTACAATCTATCATGGTACAAGAAAGGTGACTATTTCAGTCAAGGTATAAGCACGAAGTTCGTAATAGCTTGACTTGACATTGTGAAGATGCTTTAGAGGTAGCCTAGTAATTCCTTAAATGGATATTTTCAGAAGAAGAAAAATGGCCAGTGAAAATTTGGATTTGATGGTGACTTGTTTTTTCTTCAATTACCTTGAAATTGTATTTCTTTTTATATCTTAGATAAGTGATAATGAAAGAAAAAAGTTATAAATGGCTCTAAGAAAAGAAGTTTTGAACCTGTACAAAAGAATTTTATCAGCTGCTAGAAAATGGGAAGATATAGCCAGCAAACACGCAGAAGTTCAAACTGAAAAACAATACATCAAAGATGAAGCTAGAAATTTGTTTAGACTGAATAAAAATGTAAGTTGGTGTTTTGGTAAAAATGATTTATCTTTAGCTCTACAAGGTTGAAGTATTTGTAACAGTCATTTGTTATATAATTTCAGTTTTATTCTAGAATAGAGACCTTGATCAATTTATTTTATTTAAATTGCAGGTTTCAAATGAAGAAGATATAAAAGAATTTATTAGAGAAGGAGAAACTAGACTACAATTAGGTATATTTAATTTTTTAATTGATTTTATCTCTCTTTCAGCTATTCATTATCAAAATTTTGATCAGTGAATTTCAACAGATATTATATAATTCTTTGATAAAGCTTAATAGATTTATTAGGAATAGATTTTATTTGTTAATCTAATTTGTGTTTTTTTTTCGATGTTTCATGGTTTAATTTTTTAATTGATTTTATCTCTCTTTCAGCTATTCATTATCAAAATCCATACCCAAGGCCTGTAAGTACAATTTCACTACCTACAACGTACAATTTACATCATTGTGGTCTGAAAATTTAATAAAAAAAAAGGGATTTATGTCCCTGTAATAGTCTCATGTCCACTGAATCACTAAATTCTTGTGTTCTCTTATGTGTTTTCATGAGCGTTTTAATGCCATGTAAAATGCGTTAGATTACGCCTGCAAATGACACAGCGTAATAGGTCACGTACTATGCCCACATGAGCGACTTTGGAGACACACTTGTTAAAGATGAAGACAATATGGCAGATGAATCGAACATTGAATTCAGAGCACTTTATATCTACATAAAATGGCGTCAACCTGAAAAAAAAGTCACTGGGTCCTCGTTTGCTAATGCCTAGCTGATTACACTAAGCGATAACAATTTAAACCCCTTTGAAGGTTATAAGCGTATTACGCAGCGTCGGCAGCACATGATTTTTTTTACAACACGCCTGTGTGGACACATGCATTTATACGTATTTGTTTTTGTTTATTTCAGGTGAACATACCACAAAGCACTTTACCTCCAGGAATTTCTAGATTGAAAAAAGCTCAGAAAAGAAGTATTGAACTATCAAAACCAATTTATTTAAAATCTTACAAAGACAAAACTTAACTGAATTTGAAAGACAATGAATAAGCTTATTATTATTTATGGTATGATGTGCAGGTCACTCTTGAAAGCATCTTTGATGGTGTTTTGTATAATTATGGAGAGTGATATTGAGAAGGAGTTGCCTATTTTTTATGAATATGCTTTATTTACTTGCAACAGAAATTATTGCGACTATAAGCATATTAATTAAAATTGGATGTCTGTTGTGAAGAATATGTACTTAAATACTTATATTGTTACCTTTTTTTTGAATGTCATGCAGAAAGATAAAACAGAAACAAATGGTATGAATGTATCAAGTTACTGAAATGATATTCAGAAAAGATAAAGCTGCTACGTTTAATGTATTTGTTAAAAATAAGAAATGACATGAAGTATTTTGTTATTGTGTATATAATCTAGTGGAATATTTACAATATGAAGATAATGCCTACTGAATAGTTATTGGATGGTGAAATAGAGAGACTAAGGTTGTAAACAGAGTTCAGTTGTTGATAAACAATTTGTTTATTGCTTAGACAGCTGATATTTATCTTTATTATGTTACTGTGTTTGTCATTGTTTCAATTTAAAATAAATGTAGTGAAATTTGGAATTTCTCATAGGGTCCAGTCAGTTATTCAAATTTATGACAACTTATTTATTCATACAGTCAGAAAATGACATGTAACTATCAAAACTACCTTTCAATACTACTAGTAGCGAAATTCATTAAGGTAGACATTATTGAGCAATATAGCCAGGGGAAGGGGGAGGGGGTCATCCAAGTCCTTTTGTCACACGTCCAATCAAGTCTAGTTATCCCCCCCTCCCCTCCCGGAAAACTTTGTGAATTGTTATGCATTACAGTGTTGCTGTCTATAGAGTTATTGCTATCTTTATTGCTCCCAAGGACGCCCATTGGAAGCCTGGAAACACGATCCCCTCTAGACAATTCTAGAGAATTTGACTCCCTGAAACGCGATTTCCTGGAGAATTTAAGGTTTATTTGTATAGTGACTGTGGGACCACTAACAAGAAAATTTTGAGAATTTGACGCCCGGAAACGTGATTTCCTGACATTTCCCAGCGAATTTAAAGTTCAAGTTATAGTCACAGATATAGTTTTGGGTCAGTTTGTTGGACAAGGGAACTGTTTTTTGAATATTGAAACGACAATTAAAAGGAAATAAACATTAGTTATTCTTTCATGACTATAATAATAATGCAATAATCGTTCAAACTATTTGGGCAACTATTAACTACTATTATCTCTTGACCACCCCTTGGAGTTACCTTCAATGTGCAATATATCGATACCCAGATATTGAAAGAGATCATCGTCGGCCAATTTCCTTATCGATGTATATCACGATTATCATTTATATTCGTTTATATATTTACGAACTATAGTGGCCACCTGAATCAAGGAAGTGAATAAATTGGAAATAAAATGGAGCTTTAGGTCCAAACTTTCCTCACTTGGTGGAGTAAATCAAGGACGGGAAACGTAATGCGTGGTAGAGTGAGAGGACAGCAGTATAAGCCTATATCTTTCGGTCACCCACATCAATGACAAAGGCGGACCCGGATAGCAGCTCGGGAAATTCAGGGAGGCGAGCAACCCACTGAGCCACTGTCCTGACCACCTCCCTTGCCATATAATTGTAAAGATACTTCAAAACACGAAAGCAGCATCGACATCAAAAACACCAAAGTCGCTGATTTTGACACCGGGCATTTAAACGATTTTTGATTTTGTATTATTAACATTACTGAAGCGGTAGCCTGCTAGTTTCACAAATCGCTAGATATTTAAGGAAATACTGAATTTTATTTAGTGGATGGAAAGGAATTTAAATATGTCTCGATGCTTGGCTTAAACCTCCAAGTTAGATTTAGATAACCTTTTCTGTTGTTTCTTGATAAGTGTTGCTGTTGTACAATGTAACCATCTGCTTAACTGCTTCTGTACACAACAGGTCTCTAGGTTTCTCTATGTAAAAGTTTAGTGGAATGTATTTCAGTGTATTTGGTAGCTGTTAAAATCATTCCTATTGTCATCACCTTACAGTAGTTGAAATAATTGTAAATCAACATATTACCACATGTTTTTACCCTTTTTTCACCTTGAAATATTTCCTCCTCTAATAACCTAGCGGTGAACTCTATAAAATAATTACGTTCATAGCTTTCAGCTCAAGGAGATGCGATTATTATTTTTAGCTCATTTTTTGACCTCCGTTGGCTTCTGAGAGACCCCAACCACCCCAAGGACTTCAGCCCCTCATATCAGTCTTCACCTCGGAGACCTCTCATTATTGCCCCTCCCCCATCTCCAATCACGTCCACCTCAGGCATTTTATAAATACGTCCCTACACGTCACAATTTCGATTATGAAAACAAAGTGATCTTCTAGGTTGTTTATTTTGAGAACAATTTACATGATCATTTCTGAGGACTTACAGTGCTTTCGGTAAAATATTTCCGATCAATATTCAACGGTTTCTTAACCTCTTCAATAAATTCTATAGCTGACTATAATCGTTACAAGATGAGAGAAAGACTTTGATCGAATTGAGTATCAGATTGATCTAGCCTACAAATGAGACGATGAGGGTTCGGGGTGGGTCGGTGTTTTAGCCCTACTAATTGATGATTTCGTACTGCGGATGGAAAAATTGTGGGCTACACATAAATACTTTGGGTACCATAAGCTATTTCTCGAGAAGATGGTCCTAATGTCAGTCTCTTCTATGAAAATCTTGCGCCTTTAGTTAGGGCCAAAATGATCATTCATTGTATCTGTAATATTAATTGTGTTCAAAGAGTTAGATTAACCTAGCATTTCTTTCTTCATGATTTACCTGTTATGTAAGAATATTAGCAACTGAAAATCTATTAGGAAGTCTATTTTCAAACGCCTGAAGAATTATTTACAGTAGTTATCACTGCCAATTTGGCATACAGCCGACACATTACTTATATAGAACTAAGTACGACCTTGAATGTCTAATAATTATGTAAATTGACTTTTTATCTTTAAAATGAAATGTAAAATTACTATGCAAGTATAATTGCTCCTGATTATGAGATCCAGATAAAAAAAAAATGACAATTTCTTCTTGCAATATTGAACATAATTAAAAGTGAACTTATTTCAGACATAAATGTGCATAATATTTACAAGACTAGAGCCTATTCATATTGTATTACAATATTCTATTTACATGCTTCGTCTTTTATATATGTTCCTCTAGGGGCCTTCTATTCGATTTAATATTAATTTCAAAACTGCATCATTTAATATCGGGCGCCTTCCGGCATAATACTTTAAAAATTGGTTAGCATTTATTCATAGGAGTACCACAATATACAAATTTAATAATATTCAGTTGTAAGGTGGATATAATAGTAATAATATAACTTATATGTACTCATGAGTATGATATATATGCAAAAATGTATAATTTTCTCAGAAATGGCTAAACCATTGGAAACTTGCGAGCAGAACTGAATGTGCTTACTCCATTTCACTCGACAAATCTGGCCCTACCAGCTCCTCGGACGTGATATATCGTCACTAGACTTAAAAGGTCCCGTTTTATCAGTTGCCCCGATCAATATTTTGATCTCTAGTTTTTAAGCATTTTCACCAGTCAATCACTGATTTAAACATAAAGGTCTAACCATGACATAATTATAACCACTGACATTATATAATATGTTTCTAGTAGTTTTTCTAGACAATCTCACTGTACCATATTAATGTTCTATTTTCTTTGTTGTTGTTTATCATTCCTGGTGGTAGAGTTTTAGGCTAACGTTGTATTTTGGGGTGATTGAGATTATATCCCGGTTTATTTTGGCATCAGTGTATGACTTATCTGTTGTCACATCATCTCAGTAACTTGTTTCAGATCATTCATATACTCTTCACTTATCCTTAATGGATGGTAGTTTTGTGACTGATCCTCAGATTCGTTCTACTTTCACCATGTAGCCTACTTGTTAATTGACACAGTATGTCGAGATCAACAACCTTTCATTCCACCCACTCAGTTACAATATACCTATTTTATAGGCCCACAAGAAATGGGGGCATATATTGTCGCCACCTATGTCCGTCAGTCCGTCCGTTCACAATTGCTCGTAAACACTCCAGGAGGCACAATTCTTGAGTGATTTTGACGAAACTTGGTATGAGTGTGTGTAATCTAGAATAAACCCTATTGAAAATCAGAAAAATCGGAAAATAATTAGCATGAGTTATTGCCCTTGTTATTGAAAACGCGTTCAATTTTAGCTTGTAAACACTCTAGGTTCAATTATGGGCGGATTTTGACAAAACTTGTGAGTGCTTGTAATCACCCAAGGATGAATTCAGAAAATATTAAGTATGAGTTATTGCCCTTGTTAGTGATAACGCGTTCAATTTTTAGCTCGTAAACACTCTCGAAGACACAATTCTTAACAGAATTGGACAAAAGTTGACGCGAGAGTTTGTTATCACCCAAGGATGAACCCTATCGAAAATCATAAAAATGGAAGGATTTTGACAAAACTTGGTGTGAGTGTTTGTAATCGCCCAAGGATGAACTCAGAAAATATTAAGTATCAACTATTGCCCTTGTTCTTGAAAACACGTTCAATTTTTAGCCATAAACACTCCCGAAGGCACAATTCTTAACAGATTTTGACGAATCTTGCTATGAGTGGTTTTTATCACCCAAGGATGAACCCTTTGAAAATCAAAAGAATCTATTTAGAATGAGTTTTTATCCTTGTTCTTGAAACATGTTCAATTTTTAGCTCTTCAACACTCTAGAAGGCACCATTCTTGACAGATTTTGACGAAATTTGGTGAAATTGTTTAGAAGACTAAAGATTAACTTAGAAGATTTTTTCTCTTTTTATTAAATCTGTTATATGTGTACTTTCAAAGCGCTATAATTATGTCCCCTGTCCACTTTGATTACTTTGGATATCATATAGCTGTAGCTGCTCGCTCAATGAGTTCCTGGGGGTCCGTGGTTCCATCCCTTGTCAGTGATACAGGGTACCTGAGGATATGACATGGGAAAATCGTGTGGTCGCAGCTTGCTGTCCTAGCTGTGATACAGGCTGATTACGTAAGAGTTTTATCGACAGTTGAAAATTGGAATTATGTAGGCTAATGAAATTGTCCTGAAATATTTTGTTTATAAGTCATATACATTGGCTGTCTTTGGCCTTCGTCATTGGACCAATCAGATGTATAATAGTATGTATAAAGATTTCTATCATAAGATCAGAAAGTAAATAATTGTCAGTGCCAGATCAGATAATAATTGTTTTATTAGCCTATGCAAGATCAATGAAAGTTTTGCCGTGGTGTTGCTTTGAAAGATCATGACCAAGCATCTTTCTATCCCGTTAGCTTGTGTTGCTATAGGCCTGCTGGTCACAGTCCATTCCAAATAGACCAAACTGACCTCAAGTCTACTAATGAAAGTTTATATGTATTGCTGAAAGGGAAAATGGTAGCCGATGTTCTACCTTCGTGTAATTAACTATATTACTATTTCGTATTCGTAAGTTTATACCTTGACTGCAGTAAATACCTTTCTTGGATCATGGAA